AATCATGGATTTGAATCGCAATTCTGCTTCTTAATATCTTTGTATCATAGTTTCCTCACTTATCAAATGAAACTGTATCAAGTAAGTGACAAGCTGGCTATGAAGAGCAGGTGAAATCATGAATATAAAAGTGCTTTGCAGCAGGTAAACACTAACACTTGCAAGGATGCTGATTTTTTAAATGCCAATATCTATGTCCAAGGAACTCACATCCTAGCTGGAGAGAAAAAAGTAATCCTCTGAAACAGCAGAAAAACAAGTATAGAACAGTATATAGCAACTAGCCTGTATGGTAAAGGTTGTAAGGGCTCAGGAATTTCATAGTAAAGGGAGATTGGTGATAATAGAACTGACCAGTAAAGGTTTCATAGGGAAGATGGGTTCTTTCAGGTCTCATAAAATGTAAATATTTTGGCTGGATGATAGGAGAGAAAGCAATAACATGAATTTAAGCAGGATTGAGATTGGAGTGAATAGGGCATATCTAAGAAGCAGTAGCAGGGAGGCAGCCAGCTGTGTACCCAGAAGACTGACTATTGGACAATTTGAGAAAGTCAGATACCCTTGAAAGCTAAATCTGTATTTCAGCTTTTCTTTGAGTAGGAGAGATTGTCCTTGTGCATTCTTTGCCTTCTTCTTAGTTAGTGGAGATGATAGTCGTCACATAACTCAAGTTACCCTAGGCTTTTAACTCATGGATAGAACACTTACCCAGGAAATAAGCAAAGTTAGCACATCTAGACCAGAAAGTGTCTTTTTTCTTCTCCCTTTTGGGTTATCCTTCCAATTTCCCCATGCTAAATTTTCGCATGTTCATTCCCTTGCATAAATCCTAATATCCTCTGGTTTTGAGTGGAATCATAGATCTGAATGAAGCTAGAGAGGTCATGTAGACTAGCATCCTGCTTTTGTTAAGAACTGAGTTTAACCTCTGCTTGGATAAGAAACTGCCTTCTTTCAAAAGACTGCATTGGGCCAGGAAAGAGTAGCTGATATTGGAGCAACCTTCCTGCCAAAAGAAGAAAAAAATTATGGAAGCTTATTTAAAACAACTGTTTATAGGCATTGTAGAACCACTAACATAGTATCTGAGGGAATACCATTCCTGAGAGGAAGAAAGCACTTGGAATTGAGCTACATAGTCACTCTGGCATTTTCCCTGAGGGTACTTGCCAATTCTCTATCCAAGAGTATGGGGTCCCGTCCCAGCAGAAAGCAGCAGTCCTACAGGGCTTAGAGGTTGGAGTTAGGGGCTATTAAAGTATTTGGGATCTGAAACACAAAATCCCAGGAGAAAGAAAACCGCCAGGAAGAAAGTGAAAAATGTGCTTGTAATCTTCCCTTGGGGTGTTTGCCAACTCCTAAGATACACGTGATCAGAGCAAGACTCCGAGAATCCTTGTAGAAAGCAGCAGTTGGGAATGTAGTGAACAGTGCAAATATTTCAGTAGCCATATACAGTGCTGGTGAGAGGTTGGCAAGGTAGAGAGGCCCTGGCAAATACAAATACCCCAGGCTTTAATTGGAGGCCTCAGAAGGACCACACTTCGAGCATAAGGGAAAGCTGAAATAAGCTAGCCCTGACACAACTTAAAACTGACTTCTGACAGGATTCAAGTGGCCGGACTATATTCTTACCCCTGCCGGAAGAATACGTTACACTCTTAGGAGGGAAATCATCTGAATCATCCGGAACCACTACAGTTTTTAAACAGAATGTCTGCCATCCAATAAAAAATTAAGAAGCATTCTAAAATTGAGACCAAATGACCAAAATGAAGAGAAAAAAGAGAGTAGAAAGATACACACAGGTGATTCAGATATTCGAGTTTATCAGTCAAGAACTGACTATGTTCAAGAAAGCAGAAGAACAGGAGACTTTCAACAAAGATATGAAATCTATGTTTTACCAGGTCAAATGGAAATTCTGGAACTGAAATATACAGGAATGAAATTAAAAATTTAATATATGGGTTTAATAGCAGTTTAAACACCAAAGAAAAAGGGATAGAAGATTATTGAATCAGAAGAAAAGTTAGTAGAAAACACCCAGATTGAAGCACAGAGAGAAAAAATATTGAAAAGAAAATAAGAGATACATGAAATATATTGAAAACATTGTGAAATATATTTCACATATATGTATATTTGGAGTCTCAGAAGAGGAGAGTATGACAGAAGTAATATTTAAAGAAATATTGGCTGAGAGTTTTCTAAAATCAATGGAAAGTATCAAATCATAAATTGAAGAAGTTCCGCAATCCTCAGTGAGATAAATACAAAAGGCCATACCTAGGCATGCCATAGTTGAACTACTGTAAGCCAAAGACAGAGAAAGCTTAAATGCAGTCAGAAATAAAAAGCATATTATCTTCAAAGCTGCACCAATAAGATTGACAGCTGAATTTATCAGTGAAAAATTGGATGAAGCCAGAATGTAATAGAAGTATATCTTGCATGTTCTGAAAGAAAATAATTGCTAACCTAGAATGCTCTACCTGTCAAAAGCATCCTTCAAAAATTATTTGGGTAAAAAGAAGCTTTCAAACAAATAAAAACAGAGAGTCATCCGCTAATTCTGCAGTGAAATAAATAACAAAATAAATTATTCAATTAGCAGGAAGATGATTTGTGATGGAAGCTCAGATATGCATCAAGAAAAGAAAGGGTAGATATATGGTGAAAATTTACTTAAAAAAATAATGATGTCTTGTAGGATTTAAAATATGTAGATGAAAAATGACAATAATAGCACAGAGATAGGAGAGAGCTGGTAAATTATAAAATTGTTGCTTTGAGATGTAATGTAACAAAGCAATGATGCCTACTTTAGTTGCTGAGAAAGCTACTCAATAACAAAAGACTAAATAACAACCAAATGAAGAAGGAAAATGTGGGAAAATAATAAAAATTTTTAGTCAATTCTAAAGGTGAGAAAGAATGTAAATTAAGTGTAAATGGACTGTATTTGTAATTAGGAACCAAATATTTTTGGATGAGATAATGTATTAAAACCCAGTAACAGATTGGTTACCCCTCATCCAAAATGCTTGGGACCAGAAGTATTTCAGGTTTTTTTTAGATTTTAGAGAATCTGAAGTGTTCCAATGAACATTTCCTTTGAGCATCATGTCAGCACTCAAAAAGTTTTGGATTTTGGAGCACTTTAGATTTGAAGGTTTTTGGATTTAGGATGCTCCACCTGTATATGCTTTTTGTAACAAACAAGCTTGCAACAAGCTTTCAGGGTAAAAATTTGAAATACATATTTATAAACTTGAAATATATACATATATGTGTATATAAATATACACACACACCTCAAACAATCCATAGCCACACATACACACAGACAGACAAAAACCAATAAGGATATAGAATACTTAAACAAAATTATACCCATCAACTGCAGAATATACATTTTTTAAGTGTACATAGATCATTTATAAAATAAACAATGTGCTGGGCCATCAGTTTAAATAAATTGCAAAGTATTGAAATCACATGCGTTCTCTGACCACAGTGCAAAGTGCAATCAAAGTAGAAATCAGTAACAGAAAGATAAATAGAAAAAATAAAAATATTTGGAAATTAAACAATATACAAAGGAAATTAGAACTTTTTTGCCCAAATGAAAATTATATGTAAATGTGTGGGGAGCATTAAAATAGCACATAGAAAGAAATTTAAAAATTTAAATGCATATATTGAAATGAAGAAAAGTTGAAATCAATGATCTAAACTTTAATTTTAGGAAGTTAAAGCAAAATTAATTAAACTTCTCCAAAATAGAAAGAAATAGACAAATAAGAACAAAAACTAGCAAAATAGAAAAAAGTATGATGTGGAAAATCAGTAGAACCAAAAGTTAATTTTTAAATAAAGATGAACAAAATTGATAAAGCTCTACTAAGACTGAACAAGTACAAAGAGAAAACACAAATTAACGTATCAGGAATGAAAAGATATGTATTACAATAGATTCTACAGGTATTAAATGGAGGTGAATGCATAGCTTTATTTCAATAAATTTAACAATTTAGATGGAATGAACATATCCCTTGAAAAACACTACTTATAAAACTGACACACACACTGGAAAACATGCATAAGCCTATGTCTGTAAAAGAAAATGAACCCATAATTTAGAACCTTCACACACACACACACACACACACACATACACACACACACACACACACACACACACACAAACACTCACTCACTCATCCACCCACCCACCCACACCCTTGCCCAGACAACTTCTTTGAGGAATTCCTCTAAAACCTTTCAGAGAAGAAACAACGCTGATCTTGCATAAAAGTTCTCAAAGAACAGAAAAAGAAAGAATAATTTCTACCTCCTTTTATAAGGCCAGCATATCCTTGATACTGTAAACTGACTTAGATATTACAAGTGTTGAGCCAAACAAGTCAGACACAAAAGAGTAAATGCTGTTTGAGCCCATTAATATGAAATTCAAGAGCAGGTACCGCAGTGGTAATCAGCATAATGGTTACTCTTAGGGGGGGTGAGCTACTGACTGGGAAATAGCATGAGAGAATCTTTTGGAATGCTGGAATGTTCTATATCTTTATCTGGCTACTAATTGTAAGAGTATGTGCATATGTAAAAATTCATTTAGCTGTATACAAGATTTGTGCACTTTACTGTGTGTATGTTATATAAGACTAAATACTATAAACTTCTCTGCTATAACACATGGATAGTCTCATCATCACATAATTTATCTTCTATCTTAATTGAATCCAATGTGCATTTCACTTGCTAACATTTTATTTTGACTGCATTTGATAAATGCAAACTTCTGGCAGGAGCTGGCTTGTACCGCAGGGAGCATTTGCCCTAGGCACCCCCACCCCCACAACTTTGGGAATAAAGGAATTAGCTAAACCCAGAGTTGACTGTGATAGAGCATCTCGTTTTCCCACTCTGTCTCACTTGCTTGCTCACTTAAAACAGCATTGTTTTCTTTCTAGGCCCGGTGGTTCTGGGAAGCGTACTTCCAGTCAATAAAAGCCATTGCCCTGGCCACCCTGCAGATTATCAATGACCGGATCTATCCATATGCTGCCATCTCCTATGAAGAATGGAATGACCCTCCTGCTGTGGTAAGTGAATTCCAGTGCTAGCCACATGAGGCATAGTCCAGCTGCCAGGGTGGGTGAAAGGAAAATGTACTGCAATTGTAAAGTTTATTTAAATTCTAGCTCTCTAAGATGAGAGTGTACTTTTTATACTTGGAGCCTGATAAGGGCAGGGTAATGTTGAAACACTGACAAAAGTAAAAAAATACAGAAGCAGCAGCTTCCAGCGTGTTTTAAATGTGCTTAGAAAGACCGTCTGTTTATTTATTGCAGAGATAAATGAGGAGGCATGGGTCTTGTTAGAAATCAGAGACATCCTGATGACTTTTACAATTGTAATGCTTAGAGCTCTTGAAAAGGTTCTGTAAGCAACTTAATAATAGCTTGTATTTTGAGTGCTTACTCTCTGCCAGGGACTGTGCTAAGTGCTTTACATGTGTTACTTCAATTAATATTTCCAACACCCTGTAAGGAAAATAATAAGCAGAAGTGATCTAGATGTGTTATGGATTGCTAGAGTCATTTGCACAAGATTGTGGCAGAGGTCCCTCGCTATTTCCAGCAAAGAGATGGAGCAGTCAGAAGCTGCTCTTAGGCCTTCTTCCTTGTGTGAAGGAATCACAAGGCACGTGTGTCATTGTAGAGATTGTGGCAGTGGCTTCTAGGCACACCTTCTTTCTCACTGAAAATTCCTGAGGTTCTGGAGCTGGAAATTACTACTTCCTAGCTGCTCTGAAGTGTGCCTGGCTGTCCAGCTCATAGACCTCCAGGCGTTCCTGCGAGAGCACTAGACTCTTCTCCATTCTTTGTTCTAATCATCTCTTCCTTTCTGACCAGCCCTCCTTGTCTCCTGATTCCACCTTTTCTTTTTTCTTCTTTCTTTGAGACAGAGCGTTGCTCTTGGCGCCCAGGCTGGAGTGCAGTGGCTCCATCTTGGCTCATTGCAACCTCCACCTCCTGGCTTCAAGTGATTCTACTGCCTCAGCCTCCTGAGTAGCTGGGATTGCAGGTGCCTGCCATCACATCCAGCAAATTTTTTATTTTTAGTAGAGATGGGGTTTCACCATGTTGGCCAGGCTGATCTCGAACTCCTGACCTCAGATGATCAGGGCCTCCCAAAGTGCTGGAATTATAGGCATGAACCACTGCGCCAGGCCCCGATTCTATCTTTTCTAAATAGTGCTGTATATGGCCACCTGGTTAATCTTCACATAGGACCATCCTTTTCTCTTTCCTTTTCTGCCGCGCTCTCTTCCTTCTTGCATCCAACCTTTTGGAAATGGTGACTGGATTTTAGGCATTCTGAGAGGTGCTGAGAATACAGAAAAAAGAAGACAGTTCTTGCCCTCAAAGAAGCTCTCCACTAATTTGGGAAGCTGGTAGGTAATGCTGTGAACGTAGAGGTTCTGTAGTGGAGTGGTATACTGAGTGCTGGGTGCATACGGGACAAGCATCTCTCCTCGCAGGGATACTTCCTGAAGAGGGAGTGCCTGAGAGGAAGTCAACATGTGTGTATGGTAAAAACAACAGCAAACATCTTTTTGTTTTGCTTGAGGTGAAGTTTCCTTCTGTCTCTCTCCTCCTTGACTCCATTACCAAAGGTAACATCTCAGAATGTTGCCATTCAGATATAAGCATAATTTTGTAGTTTTCAACATATATAGGATTATCCTATACATATTTTTCTGCCTTTTTAATTTTAGCACTAGATCGTAGACTTCTCTTTGTTTTATTCTATATAGGTCTACTTCAGTTTTTTAGGATGGCTTTATTAGTATTCAGTTGTTTGGGTATATCATATGTAATAGGTCTATTATTGATGGGTATTTAGACTGCTTTCCTTTTTCCCCCTACTTTCTAACGGTAATACAAGGGGTATACTTTCACATGTTTACACATAAATATGTGAATATTTCTACAGAATTAATTCAAGCTAAGAAATTGCTTAAAGAAAATACACACTGGGGTCTGTCAGGGGGAACTAGAGGAGGGATGGCGGGGGTAGGGAGTTGGGAAGGGACAACATGGGGAGAAATGCCAGATATAGGTGATGGGGTGGAAGGCAACAAACCACATTGCCATGTGTGTACCTATACCAATCTTGCATGTTCCTCACGTGTACCCCAAAACCTAAAATGCAATAAAATATATATTAAGGAAAAAAAAAAAGAAAATACACATTTTAAATGTTGGTAGATATTAACAAATCACCCTTTTAAAAGACCATATTAACGTATAGTTTCGCAAATAACATTTGGGTGTTCTAGTTCTCCATGCCGTCAGTAATGCTGGATACTTGAATTTTTGCTCATCTCGTAGGTGAGAAATGATCTTTGTGTGTATTTTTCAAGGGGAAGATTGATATCTTTGTCAAGTTTCCTCAAATAATTCTATTTGTAGTTTGATTATTATCACAATTGCACTTTTAATTGTTTTAGACATTTATTTGTTCAGTAGGTATTTATTGAATGCCTGCTTTGTTCCAGGCAAAGTTCTTGCTACTTTGAATGAAAAAGACAGAGAAGGATCCATGCATTTGGGAAACTTACATTAGATCTTTCTATCTGGAAGAAAGATTTGTCTTTCTGGTAGAATTTATATGATGTGTGTGTGTGTGTGTGTGTGTGTATATATATATATATATATACACGTGTATATATATATATATATATACACATGTGTATATATATATATATACATATATATATGTATATATATACGTATATATATATACATGTATATATATACGTGTATATATACATGTATATATATATATGTATATATATACATGTATATATATATATATGTATATATATATCTCCTTTACAAGTATTGATAAATATTTCATAGATTTAAAATTTTTTCTTATGCTCTAATAGAAGAATACTTTCTGACCTTATAGTTCTTAACTGGTTACCATTGTATACAGACACATTTTGACTTTTGTATATTAATTTTACAACTATTCTGTTACCGAATTTCACAGTTGTTTACTTTTTCAGTTGATTCTCTTATATTTTTAGGTATACAATTATATCTACAAATGCTAAGTTTACTTTTTCCAGTATTTGAAACTTTTATTTTTTTATTTTATCTAATTGCATTGGCTAGTACTTCCAGAACAATGTTAAATGATGATTTGAGTATTAAAAAAGTAGGTATTATCTAGTCAGAGAAAGGAGGAAAGTTAGATTCCATCCAGAAGGAACAACAAATTCAAATATACAGAGGGCCAGGGGAGCTTGGTAGTTTAAGGAACTTCAGAGAGTTCAGTGTGGCAGCAGTGAAGGAGGCTTGGGAGGGAAAGGCAGAGGATGACGCCTGGCGAGGGCCCATATCACAAAACACGTGTGTCCTACATAAGGCTTTGGAGTGTTATCTGTGAGAAAAAAGTAATCACTGAAGCCTTTTAAACAGGGGCATAGTATGATAAGATTGCATTTTGGGTCAGTCTGATCTTAGTGTAGAGAATGGATTATGCGTGGCAGTGGGACCAGACTGGAGGCAGTAGACTGTTTCAGAAATCCAGATGAAAATGAGTAGAGGACACATTGAGCGGTATCTGGAAAAATGGACTATTCTAACTGGTGATTGAGGGAGAAGTTTAGAAGACTGACGTATACTGTATAGCTTATCCAGGTAGGGAATTTGGTTGCATGGGGAGTCATACGTGAGGATGGTGTTGGAGTCCAAAATCAGTCTAACAGCAAGGCCCTCCACAATCTGCCTTTCTAGCTTTTTTTTTTTTTTTTTTTCCTCTTCTCTTTCAGAGAGTTCTAGATTTCTGGCAGCACAACTCAATCCTTCCTATGTGTGTCCCTGCTTTTCCTTCTCTGTACCTTCGTGGCTGCTAGCCTTTTCCTTGACACACCTTTCTTCCCCATCATTTGCAGATTTATACAGGCTTCAGTGGCCGGCTGGTAGACTCCTTTCTCCAGGAGGTTTTCCCAACCCCTTCAGCAGGAAGTAACTCTTAGAGCATGTTACCTGTGTTTCTTTTCCATCACTTAACATGCACAGAAGTAGAATTTCCTGTAAAATTTTAAGCACCTTAAGCCATTTCTGACCTTGGTGTTCCTCATAATACCTAGGACAACTTAATTCAGACAGGAAGGCCTTGATATATAAAGGAAGGAAGGAGGGATGGAGCAAGGGAGAAAGGGAAGGACGGAGGAAGATTGGCATCCCAGGACTTGAGCCTCAAAGACATATCCTGCTGGGAAGGCGGATAAAGTGGTAAATTGTTTCTCATCTATAAAGTGATTGTAATGAGACTACCTGATGACTTGTCTAGGATCATGTAATTGGCAAGTTGTGTGAACAAGTGAGACCCCAGGTCTTCTATGTGCAGATTATCTTGAATTGCCTATGGAATTATATGGGAGCCCTTGAGCCTCCTCTGGGCTGAAATGTTACTACTGTTCCAAGCAAATCATACAAGCTTGAGAAAAATATTACATCTGTTCCTCTGCAGGAGAATTCGTACAGGTACGGGAGAATTCATACAGAATTCTGTCTGGTCATAGTCCAGACAGAAAGTGCAGAAATAGTGGGACTTTATCCTGTACTTTTATCTAAAGCTTGCAGAGATGCTTAATAAGAATAAAGGGTTGGAATTTAGTTCTCTTTTATAAGAATATAGATAGGCTAGGAGAAAATAGAATATGAAATTTTATAGTTTTGAAATAAATATGTTTTAATTCAGGACAGAATGGTCAAAGTGCTAAACAATTTGAGAAATACCATAAGCATAAATAAGGTATATAACTGGAAAATATGTTCTCTCTATATTTTTAACTCTTTCTTAAGTAATCCTTTTCAGGATACTTTGGTATTTATCACACTTCTAGCTCAGGTGACGAAAGCCCTGATTTAAAGCAGTGGGTTGTACATTTCTGCATCTTCAGTGAAAGCAGCTGATGGGAGGTCTGAATAGCGTTGGTTTATTTATAGTTAACTTCTCCCTTTCCCTCAGAAATATTTAACCTACTCTAGATGAGATTATCATGAGCCCAACCTGCAGG